GTGAACAGATTATGCATACGTCAAGTCGATAGAGATGCTAGACTAACTCGATGACTTTTGTCCGATCTCCAATAAGGCACCCTGGCCCATCAACAATATCACAAGGTACAGCTTTGCTTACGAACGGGGCCCAGACTGGTCTGTGAACGACAATGACATCATGGTTTGTACTACGATGGCTGGTGTTCTTGAGCCGCAAACGACCTGCCAGCGGTCTATCGATTCTTGGCCGGAGTGCGCTGTAGACGATACGGCCCTATTTGCAGTCTACATAGGCCCCAGGAAGCAACACTAGACAATCGTGACAAGGTGCAGTCAATTTGAAGTCGAGCCCCGTGTGAACCGGGCCAGAATAGCAATGTTTCAGCAGCATTTTAGAATCGTAGCTAGCCCGGAGGCGAGAAATCGTTAGGGAAAAAGGTCCAGTATGGAAATAAGGATTCAAACACGAGTGTAGAACTATATGAATAGAGCTTTCACCCCTCCGTCCACATGACCCATGTACATCCTTCGCTTACGTCCCTCTCCCCTTCTTGCTTTCAGGAACAACTTGTTGCCGGCGAAAGCGCCCGCGTCGAGCGACAAGCGTCTCAAATAAACCATCTCTATTCCACAGCTAAAACAAAGTTCCTTTTTCAGGCGATCTTCCTCCTAGTGCGAGTCAGAGAGGCCCGCATGTCGCCAGTCTCCGTTTGATATTTTAATACAGGAAAATACGACGAAAAAAACTAACCATGCACAAGAGCTGCACGAGGGAGTTAGTGAGGGCTGGGTTCAAGGGATCATGCAGATGAACTATACCTTAGAAGCACTTGCGGTGAACGATCGAAGGACCGCTCTCGTCGTACTCCTGCTTGGAGATCCACATCTGCTGGAAAGTGGACAGGGAAGCCAAGATGGAACCACCAATCCAGACGGAGTATTTACGCTCAGGAGGAGCAATGATCTTGACCTTCATAGACGAGGGGGCAAGGGCGGTGATTTCCTTCTGCATACGATCGGAGATACCAGGGTACATGGTAGTACCACCAGACTAAATATTCGTTAGTGATTTGCTACTCTCTGAACTGGACCCGAGACCGTAGGTAGAAAACGTACCATGACGATGTTACCGTAGAGATCCTTACGGACATCAACATCACACTTCATGATGGAGTTGAAGGTGGTAACGTGGATACCACCGCTTTCCAGACCCAGAACGCTAGGTTGGAAGAGAGCCTCAGGAGCACGGAAACGCTCGTTACCAATGGTGATGACCTGGCCATCGGGAAGCTCGTAGGACTTCTCGAGGCTGGAGCTCTGAGAGGCGGTCTGGATCTCCTGCTCGAAGTCGAGGGCGACGTAGCAAAGCTTCTCCTTGATGTCACGGACGATTTCACGCTCAGCGGTGGTGGAGAAAGTGTATCCGCGCTCAGCCAAGATCTTCATGAGGTAATCGGTCAAGTCACGACCAGCCATGTCAACACGGGAAATGGCGTGGGGGAGGGCGAAACCCTCGTAGATGGGGACAACGTGGGTGACACCGTCACCAGAGTCCAGAACGATACCGGTGGTACGACCGGAGGCATACAGGGACAGGACGGCCTGGATGGAGACGTAGAAGGCAGGGGCGTTGAAGGTCTCGAAGACGATCTGGGTCATCTTCTCACGGTTGGACTTGGGGTTAATAGGGGCTTCGGTCAAGAGAACCGGGTGCTCCTCAGGAGCAACACGGAGCTCGTTGTAGAATGTGTGATGCCAGATCTTCTCCATGTCATCCCAGTTTGTGACGACACCGTGCTCGATGGGATATCTGAGGGTGAGGATACCACGCTTGGACTGTGCCTCATCACCGACATAAGAGTCCTTCTGACCCATACCAATCATGATACTGATACATTGTCAGTGGCCATCGCTCTAGAGTAGCTGGCTGGGAGGATCGGAGGATATTTACCCATGATGACGGGGACGACCGACAATGGAGGCTAAATTTCAGGTCAGTAAATCGAGTTCATTATGATGTGGGGCCACGCGTCACAGCTGATCCATCCAGATGGCGCTTATTTACTGCGAGAAAAACAGTAACAGCTATCCCTGAGGACTTGGAGAGGGATGGCGAGCACGGGAGGGGAATGTATCAGGCTAATGCGGGGGTTGACTTACGGAAGACAGCACGGGGGGCATCGTCACCGGCGAAACCGGCCTTGCACATACCCGAACTAAGGGCAGTTTTGTCAGTATAGGAGCCAAGTGACGTTTACGCATTGAGAACAAAAGAAAATCCATCTCGTCGTTGCGATTCCAGAAAACAGAAAAGCTAGAAGCTGAGTCCGGATAGGAATTCTCGATCAGTGCGACCGGTGCCGGCAGCTGGTGTTTTGCTGCTCGGATGGGATGGAAAACACTTTGGGGGGGGGGGGGGGGGGGTTCCATCAACAAAACCATCAAAAACCAACAAGAACATACCCATTGTCAATGACGAGAGCAGCAACTTCCTCTATACGAGCGAGACAGGATGATATTAGTGACACGGTCGGACAAAGCATCGGCAGAGGGAGGGGAAGAGAACAGCTTGACGCAAGGCGCTGAGGTGGCAGAAACCTTACCTTCCATGATGACTGAATAGGATTACTACGAGGGAAAAAGGAAAAAGAAAGGAAACGAGAATGAGAAGAGCTATTAAAAAAGGTTGGGAAGATAGGGACGAGAAAGAGGAGAGAATAAGGTGGTGATGAAGGTCAAGTTGGGCGAGTGAGTGAGAGAGAGGGAAAGAGTAGCAAGTGTGGTGGAAGTAAGTTGGTTGAGGTGTGGGTGGAGGAGGAGAGACGGAGCAGGATTACTGGTCGAGCGTATTTAGTAAGAAAAGCAGGTTGTCGCAGAAAAGGGAAGGGGGAGGGGGTTAAGAGGAAAAGGAGAGGTTGGCGGTAAAATTAGGTATTAGGGGGGTAAAGGGAAGTGAGTGGCCTTAGAGGAGCATGCTAGGTGAGCGTATGTGGGTAAGCCTAAATTGGACTATACGGGACCACGCTGTTCTATGATTAGGCGGCAAATAGGGGGTTTTTTGTGGTGCCGTTGGGCCCGACTGCTGTCACCGCCACACTGTGTCAGTAATGAACCGTAATAGATTTCCGGTACGGAACAAGAGCGAGAGAAGTTGGAGCAGTTGCATTCCATATTGATTTTTGATAAGTTCTTCTTGTTGACACAAGAGAAGAAGCAAAAGGAAAATCGATACTAGTAGGGACGGTGTATAATCCTTCCATTCCTTCCTCGATCTCCATTCCATGATAGTTTCGTCCCCGAATTCCACCTATCGTCGCCTCCAAGGTAAGAACGGTTCGGGAAGGATACCAGCTGAGGTGTCCTTTCTTTTCCCCTTCCCTTAAAGCACTGCTGGATGGCAAAACCACTTGCGCATCCTCGTGGGGCAGATCCTGTGGCTGTTTACGAATGGTTCAGCCCATAGCGTCCCGGCGAACAGGGTCACAAAAGTAATCAGGGTCGGCTATCACCATAAGCTCTGGACATGATGACGATGTCGAATTCCAGGCTTCCGGATTCTTTACGAGTACAATCCCTCTGAACCTTGCCCCTCTTTTTTTTTACGTTCTTCTTGCGAATCACCATTGTCTAGGGTCTAGAAGATTGTGGGGTTCTCTGAATGTCAGACTTATTGCTGATCTTCAACAAGTCTCTTCCAAGGGAAATTAATTCACCATTGAAGGTTTGATAGGCGACGATACCAATGGCGGTCATATCCATACGCTATCGTCCATTGCATGTGCGCGTACATAGTACTGTGCTGCAATTCCTGCCTTCCTTACCGCCTTTTCATCCATTCCGATGAGATTCTCATGAGTCCCAATACTAGTAGTACTCCGTACCGGTGCCCAATTTCCGGGAGAAGTCGGTCGATCACTGTTGGCATCTTTTCGTAATTACGGTCGTCATTCAATACCAGCCAGCTTCACAATGGACTGACAGTGTCCGCGGGGTTGACATCCCATCGCGGGGTAGCAGGATTTTGTGCGACGAGTAGGTATTATGTAAGCGGGGTGTTACGATCTAACTATGTAGTCACTGTACTGTATTAGCCGTTATGTATACTAAGTCCTAGTTGGATGTATGGATGCGATGCTATCCACCAAATTAGATCCCATTATCTCTATACTTGCGCTGGTGGACAGAGGTTTCTTTGTCTCGATTGTCACACCCTCATGTTAGAATGAACATATCGAAATCATCCAAAAGCAGAGGTAGTACACTAGATTGGCATTTTCTCTGGATAAGTAGGGGCTACCCTGACCCCTATGGTAACCATCTCCAGCGACTGCATATATGGCCCGCTACAAACATCATATAGTGTTGGTAAAGGGAGGAGAGGTTCGTGACTGGAGGCCCCAGGACGCATTGCATGCCGGGGATTTTTAGATCCACTACAGCTTTCCTCCGTATTCGTATCGTATGAGCGGGTCTGCACGAGCCTGTCTCGTTCATGGTGAGGAAGGCGACTTATTATCTTCTCAGGCTTACGAGTTAAGTAGTTATATGATAATGATCAGTCATAGCCCGCCTGCGGATTGAGTAGGTTATGGAGGGGTAGATCAGGTACCTATCCGATTCTGAACCCATCTCCGTATGAAGCAGAAGAGGCGGTCCATAGTGATCAATTCCTAAATTAATGGATTCGAGATGAGTTTCAGCTTGTTTATGTTCGACATACAATGTATACATCTAAGAGTTTGCTGTGGTGGGATTGGGCAAGCGGCGGCGGGGAAGATTCCTGAACCATCTGGACGCATCGAGAACACCACCAAATTGCCCCTCCGAAATATTCGTTCTTTTTTTTGGTTCATTATTCATGAGACAAAAGAGACTCGACAACATACCCAATCTAAATTATTTTCACTACAACGTTATTTTCACTTAGTCTGTTTATAACCCTCGTACGAATATATTCAATTTAATTTCTTCCCTCCCAACCCCCCAAAAATATCTAACCAAAGAAGAACTTGCCCAGCATGGACGCAAACATGAACAACCTCCTCAAATGGAGTATCAAAAACTCCACCAACCAACAATCCGACGACCCCAATGCCTCCAATAATACTACTGATTCCGCTGCCCGCGGCATCAACCCAGAGATGCTCTCTGCTCTCTTCGGCGGCCCCTCCGACGCCGACCTAATGAAAGCCTCTATGGAAGCACTACACTCCGATGAAGTTGACCTCGAGAACAAACTGATCGCATTCGACAACTTCGAACAGCTCATAGAGTCTATTGATAACGCAAATAACCTCGAGCCCCTCGGCCTGTGGACGCCGCTGGTTGAACTCCTTCAGCACGAGGAAGCAGAGATGAGACGCATGGCCGCATGGTGTATCGGTACCGCCGTCCAGAATAACGAAAAGGCTCAGGATAAGCTAATCGTCTTCAACGCTGTTCCTAAGCTAGTCACTATTTCGACTACGGATTCGAACCCCGCTACGCGGAAGAAGGCTGTGTTCGCTCTATCGTCGGCCGTGCGCAACTACCAGCCCGCTATGGATGAGTTGGTAAAGCACTTGCCCGAGGGATATACTCAGGGGGAGAAGGTCGATTCTGGAGACATGGAGGCTGTGGATGCCATTATGGATAGATTGCGGGCGCACCCTGTTCCTTCGTCTGCTTAAGGGGTCATTCGTGCACAGGGTTGTTTGAAATGTCCAATGCCTCGCTATGCGCGTTTTCACTACAGACGCGATGAGGTTACTCGCACGTGCGGCTGTATGGGCTCACTCGAAGACAGAAGCTTTATCCACTGCGATTGCTGTCACTCTCATTTGGTGACTGTCTGTCGAAGATGCTGACCTGAAATAACGACGACGAATGCCGGGTTGCCGTGGTAGGCTCCCATCGATCTATTCCTGGGAATGATATCCCGCCTCCTCACCTCAAGGCTACGTTTGTACAGGCTGGTATCATGTTTCATGTATTCGCGGCCAAACTTGGCTTAGGTTACACATGGATGAGGGAGGACCTTGTACTTCAATTGAGCCGCATATTACAAGGGATATATAGATAATAAAACTCTTTTCGGCCAGTTGAAGCCAACGTGACCGTTTTATGTAAAATTGAACTTGTTATGCGTAAGCCGTTGGCCACGCGGCATATATATCTACAGAGTCAAAATATGTTGCTGCCTGAATGCAGTACGACACCCGTTTCTGCTTCATTGTCTCCCGGCATCAAGGGCTCGGAACTCGTACTTATGCAGTCCACTTGAGTTCGATATACGAGGAAATGGAAATCATTTCATTGACCGTATAGGTATTCCACAAACATAATCATAACATAAGACTAGAGGGCATATGAATCGCGACTACGCTAGCCACTAAGAAGAACAAACGAGGAAAGATAGATAAACAGCTAATCATGATAAAATCCCAAAATGAGCACCACATTCCATCAGTTACTACAACGCAAGGTTGTAGGTGTAATCATCTTCTATGTTCTGCGAAATCCAGAGAACAATCGTGCTACCAAGGAGGGTAGTTAGTAATCCGTCTAGTGAACGGTAGATATGAAGCGCATACCTCAGCATGACGAGTCCATTCGCAACGACATTAGCGATTCCAAAGTATAGCGTCTGCAGGGGGTATTGTTTAATGAGGTATTTAAGAACCATGACCGTCTGGGGAAGTTATTAGCCATCATTTAATATTCACGACAGAGAACGTATCTATCTCGCGACATCATTCCGGGGATATCTGTGAAGGGATACTAACCACACTGCCTGCCAGACCGCCAGCCAACAGCGCAAACCCAAGGAAAAGTACAAACCGCGCTTTCCACGCGACACCGGTTCCACTGTAGCTCCAGCTATCTGCGTGCAGCCGTGACTTCTCGATTGAGTTAATAACAAGCATTCCGAGCGCGGAGCAGATACCGGGGATCCAGTCGACGAATTTGACATGCACGTTTGAACCATTTCGTGAGCTGTGAGAGAATGCAGCTGCATCGACTAAGAAGAAGAAGCCGAGAGAAAACTTTGGTAAACTTCATCAGTACGATTGCGCCTTGACATAGGACGGGCAGATAAGCTCACCAATGCTCCCGATGTGTAGACGCCTGCGTTGCGGACGGAATTGTTGTTTAACCATTCCGGTTTGGAGAACCGGAAAAGACGGTTGTTGGAGACATCCATGTCGTAGCAGTCTAGAGTTCCAATCAAGTGTAAACTATCTTTTACATCAATAGAGGTAAACTTGATATACGGATGAAGTTCGGATCTTCCGTAGCTATCAGGAAGGTTGGCGATGATGCACTTCGGCGGTCGGAAAATCACAATGCCGATACCGTCATAGCTTTACTACTCCTAGTATTATCTTGTTGAAACCATACATGTAATATATGATTTTCTTAGTTTCTACAAAGTCTCAAATACTCTTATGCCATAGTAGCTGTGGCTTCGTTTCCTATTTGAATATAGAGTTAATGTAGTATATAATGATCAACAACTCTCTTGGTTATATTGGCGGAGTGTTTCCAAAGCAATCAATTCTTTAGGTTAATGTGATTATATACATCGTAACGTCATGGATCGTTCACTGTACCAGACAGGATCAGTTTTCCTCACAGAATAATCTCAAGAACTCATCAATATACGTCATTGCTTTTCCTTTATCCAGCAAAGGCGGCAAGTATTTTGAGCTGCCTTGACCGACAGACGTTTCTTTCAGATACTTTCGTAGAGCGAAGGTGGATGCGCGATAGGTAGCATGATACATCGCCTTAAACTCGTCTTCATCTGTGCTTGGGGCTTGCGTGGCCAGAGGTGCGGCTGCCGCCGTAATGCGAGGATCCTTTTCTTCGGCGTGGGAAGGAGGCATATCGTGACTATTCGGGTTCTTGCTCAAAGACCCGGACCGCGTCGTCGAGCGGTTGAAGCCATATAGCCGCATGCATGTTAATACCGTACGAGAGATTGTGTTCTTGTTTTCGATAATGACTTCTTCGGCATCCTTGGGCGCAGATGAGAGCTCAAGCCTTCCATCAGATGATGGTAACGCCGGTGAGGGTTCTCCCTCCTTCCGCAAAGAGGATTCAATGAAGGGATTGGGCGTATTCCTCTTAATCAACTCACGCGGGTGGCCCCGGTTACTGCCGGGCCTAGGATGCTCCGTACGAAGCTCTGAAGGTTTGCTAGGGTTTAGGTTCGCGCCAACGGAGAGAGATCTTGAGCGTTGTGAGGTAATTCGGTCTAATAAAGGAAGACTTGGTTCCTCCGACTCCCGCTTGATGCGGGAAGTTTGGGACTGGTGTGATGGCTGTAAATGGGCGTGCCCCATCAACTGAGACACAGCATCCCCTCCTTTCTGACGCACCCTCTTATGATGTTGTGTAACCGATTCAAACAACGTTGCCACCCGCTTACGCTTGGGACTCGGAGAACGAATGTCTGGAAGGAATTCTGCAAGTGTTTCATGTCCAAGAAGTTCATTCGTATTTTGCGGTGTTGGGAGTGCATGCACTCTGGCGATAAGGGACGAGGAGATGGGAGCGGCATATATTCTCAGTTCTTGTCTGATAGTTCGTAGAGCAATTTCATCAGAGCTTGCTGAAGAGGACACGGGAGGAGTTGGAGGACGTTTGAATGACGTTGCGCTTGACAGGACGCCGTACACTATTATGTCTGTGGTGGTTGACCCTGTCTTTGTTCGTATCGTGTTATCGACACTCACAAGAAGACCGACTGGGCACTGGACTGTCTGAAGCCTATCCATATCCTCCTCTCCGAGCCAGACACCGCCAAGTAATTTGGTTTTTAGCCATTGCGACGTTTCCGCATCATTTGTATGCAATTCAAGGTTTGGCCCAACGCGCGCATATAATGGTATCAAAGCTGGGTTCACAAAGCAGCGAAGACTTAGCGTTGAGTCCCTTGGTATATCAGAATGCCAATTGGGGGATCTGTCAATTAGTTGTAGGCCTGTATAGATTTTAGTAGCTTATAGATCGAGATTGATCGGCCGCCTCACCTCGGAGTTGAGATTGTTCATCCAGTACGATGCCACCAGACCAGATGTTCATTTTAGATATACTCTCCTAGTCCAACATTTCACATCTTAGAAATATACCGGATTCTCAAGAGAAAGACACTTTGGTCAGCTGAAGTAGCAAGCGTTTCCTAGATTATATTGTAAATTACACGACGCGCCTGGGAAAAAGCGGCACGTTATCACGTGATATAAACGTTCGCCAGGCATGTGCCTAGATATTACTTATTGGCATTTACATGTGCGTAGTAGCTTACGGCACCCATTGGGACGCTCTCCGCAAGGGACCTCAAAGCTCCCCAGTCTCCCTTGAAACCTCTAGATAACCTCACAGCAGCTATAGTACATCAATCGTATCATTCGAATAGAATAAAAGTAAACTTAAGGCTGAAATTCGCGGCAAATTCACATAAAGGACTCTCACCATACAGCAGAACAAAGAGGTATTTCATAAAGGAATCCATGGCTCCATGAATAGGAGGAAGCCTTCGTCCGCTTGGTGAATTGGCAAATCAGATGCGACCAAGCGCCCCTATGTGATTTCACCCTAACTAGCTGATACCCAAGGTGGCTCAAAACTCTTCCTGCTCCTTGAAGAACATAGAGAAACTAATAATTGTTCCATAAATCAAGAGACCACCAAGGATCGACATGATCATCGCTGGGACCTGGATTGCGCCGCTATGCGCAAGCACAGCTGGGAGCGCTATAGAATATTGGAGTTAGCCACAAGACCACCCCCCCCAAAATTATTTTATGAATGCTAGAGCTCGACATTCGATCATGGCTCAGCGCATTTTCGCTTGAACTTGGAGCAACTTACCAATGCCCATCAAGACTAGGAAACCCGTTAAGAAACGGCCAAAATCAGCAGCAGCATTTCCCGAGCTGTCCATAAAATCATCTGGGTTCGCACATCGTGAGCAGATCCAGTTGGGTAGGGGAGCAACAACGTAAGTTGCAACGACAATTAATGGTAAGAAGTTATGCCAAAGAGCTGAGGAAAGAATGACGAGTAAGAAGCCAATGGCGAGGACCTGAATGATGAAAGAGAGATGTCAGTAATCTCCTTCTTTGTGTTTCGAATATACAGAATATAATCACTTCGATGGATCACATACGAATGATAGTGCGATAATTGTCTTAAGGCCGGCCGTCATGATGCGGAGCAACAGGACCGTCTAGGTCCAGACACTGAATGCCGATATAATGGTATTTGGGTGGCGCAAACGGAGCTTGAGCTGGTATAGCCTCAGGCAAGTTAGTGGAGCTTGATTTGAAGGCAACGCTCCTTCAGTATGGAGACGTTGATCGAGTGGTAGTCGGAATGACCGATGCCGATGCAGTCGCTGAGGTGACGTTGGACGACCCGCAGGCGGCAGTTACAATGTGTTGGTGCCTCAGGTATCAAGGCGGCAGGTCCTCCATCAAGCAAGCGGAAGCTTTGGTAATTGCGTTGGTCACCGCGTCAGTCTCACTGCCTACTAGTAAGGTATCTCCTCCCCAGCTCTTGTCCCATCAACTATACCTCGCCGCCCCTCTTCCTCTCTGGCAGTTCTTGACTATTACAATTTCTCCTCACTCCCGATAATTACTTTCTCCAAACTTCCAAAATGTTCCGGAACAACTATGATAACGATGCGGTTACCTTGTATGACGTTCCACCTAGCTCCCCGTCCCAGCTGGAGAAGCTCTATCACTAATATCTTTACTTTGGACAGCTCCCCACAGGGTCGGATATTTCAAGTAGAATATGCGCAAGAAGCCGTCAAACAGGGATCCGTCGTAGTGGGGCTGGTTAACAAGACACATGCCGTTCTGGTCGGCCTAAAGGTTCGAACTACCATCAGCAATTAGATTGCCGAGAAACAAACCGTGGGTGGCTTGCTAACATGAGCAAATTGGTCTGGATAACTATAGCGAAATGCCGAAGAGCTCTCGTCGTACCAGAAGAAGATTATCGAAATCGACTCCCACATGGGCATCGCTATCGCCGGTCTTGCATCTGACGCTCGTGTGCTCTCTAACTACATGAAGCAGCAGTCACTCGGTTCCAGAATGACTTACGGTCGACCAATCCCCGTGGACCGCATCGTTACTCAGATCGCTGACCGCGCTCAAACAAACACCCAGCATTACGGTAAACGGCCGTACGGTGTCGGCCTGCTCGTCGCTGGCGTTGACGAAGCTGGGCCCCATCTATTCGAGTTCCAACCATCCGGTATGATCCATGAAATGTTGGCCTGCGCCATCGGAGCTCGTTCGCAGATGGCCCGGACTTATTTGGAGCGGAACCTGGACAAGATTACAAACAGTACCCGTGATGAGCTCATCACCCATGGTCTCCGTGCACTCAAGGAGACTTTGTCCCAGGACAAGGAACTGACTGTTGATAATACTTCTGTCGGTGTGGTGGGTCTTGCCGGAGAGGAAGGAAAGGGAAAGATTGAGAGCTTCAAGCTTTATGAAGGTCAACAACTCGTACCGCTGCTAGAGGCTCTGGAGTCGGGAGAGACGAAAGAAGAGGAGACGATGGAGGTCGATCCGTAGATTTCGAGGTTACGCCCATAGATATGAAATATTGGTCACTGCAATGCTGGAGATTTGCGGCAGCTTTTCTTTCTTTTCTCGGATTGTTATACGCAGGCATTGGTACGAAATCGGGATAATACGACATTTACTCTCCAGACGCAGTGCACTGTTTTTTATATCATGAAATCGTAATTGGTGCTCTAGTCCTTCCCCTTATGCTCTCCCTTCTAGCCTCTAGCAGATGACCAACGTTGATAACTCTTCATGCCGAGGAGAAGCTAAAGTCTGGTGCCAGTACTAGTAGGCTAGCCAGCCAGCCTACTCCCCTCCCCAGTTCAACTGCATCCTCCCATTGCTAATCTTGTAACCAACCAGCTTAGGCCAAACCTCAGTGACATTCTTGGCTTCAACCAAGATCTCGCCGTTCTCGGCACTAACAAAGCCTTCTTGGACTGAGTTCTTCACCCACGCTAACACACCATCCCAATATCCATTGGCATTGAGCAACACCATGCCAAGCTTATGGATTCCCAATTGATTCCAGGTAGTCATTTCCATAACCTCCTCGATAGTTCCGAACCCGCCCGCCAGCGCCACAAAGCCCGACCCCGGACCACCCTCGCGGACCTTCTCGGCCATCATGCGCTTGCGCGTGTGCATATCTGGAACGATGGTGGTATACCCGTACTCTGACTCCTTAAGCGTCCCGATCTTACCCATGGGCTCCTTGACTACCCGCTCTGCTTCTTTCCCACTTACGACCGCAGAAGAGTTCCTCACCTCTTCGGCATTGTCATAGCCGGGCTCGACTTTGACCAGAGCTCGAGGAATGATCCCGTGCACTGCTTGTGGCCCGGAAAGAGAAACCAACGTGCGGGCCAATTCGCCCATGAGGCCTGCCGTGCCACCGCCATAGACGAGTTGGATGTTGTTTTTGTGAAACTCGTATGCAAGGGCTCGGGCTGTTTCTAGGTGAACGGAGTTGTTCCCGGGGACTGAGCCGCAGCTACAGGGTCCCATTGTTGATCAGTACGGACTTCTTAACGCTGATTATATATGGCTGTCATTCGTTGCGATGTCCCGCGGATCATGGTTTGGGGGAAGGGGTTGATTCACTCACAATACACAGACAACTGCAGGTTTGTCTTGCTGAACGCTCGTCATAGTTACTACCGTATATATATATGAAAATGTATTGATTGCATATGCAAGGCGTAGAATTTTATCAATCCTCTATGGCTAAGGGAAGACAAAAAAAATAAAAAGAGGTACGCGAAGATTCTTGAGCGGAACCCCCGGCGAGGACTAATTAATCCCTATGTATATATAGGTACAGAATTTCATGGAAGAAAAGTTGGATAAGGATGAAGTATGTAAGGGGTCCTTGGGACAATCCTGGAAAGCTAAGACATAGGATTCATGGACTTCAATGAGTCACCACCAGTTGAATTCATTTTATGTTACATCTCTACATCGGAACCATTGAAATGTTGGCTGGTCTCGCTCTCCTTCACCACAATTCTGTATGCCCTCAAGCATATCAACTCAGGCAGGCGGTTCCTAAATTTGGCCATGCCTACTAGATTTGGGATAATAGCGCCCCCTGGTATCGCGGCATCCATCCCCTAGCTACGAGTTGATACCTACTCTACTTACAATCCTTACATCAGTAATGTACTGTAGACGGATCCATGGAATGTTCATTGCCATGTCCCTAAGGTTATCAAAACAAGGGTATCATAAATTTTGGGCTGCTCCTTTCAACTCCCAATCTTGGCCTTCTTCTTTCGCACTTTGTTGTCATCGGAGGCCGACGGAGTGGCTCCTTTCTCGGGTGTTTTCCCAGGCGTGTCGACCTTGACTTGAGGCGTTCCAAGGATGCTCCCTGGACGGCTAACATTCGGTAGTTGTTTGGAAACAGCCCCTCGATCTATATCGCCAGATTTGGATAGGATAAATGATCCCGGTTCTCCGACCAGTGGATTTTCATCCATAAACTCTTCGCCATATCGTGCAAGAAGACTGAACGATTCCGCGAAAGTCCTCGTGTCCTGAAAAACTGCTCCAGCATTGGCAGTTTGTGGCCCAACCAAGAGAGCTTTCGTGGAGTCCGCGTCGGGCATTGGAGTGTTCTCCTTGCTTTGCTGAGATTGAGTCCCGGGCTGACTGCTATCCGTCGGTTTGGGTGCGGGCGGCATGTACGTGTGCCCATGTGACGGCGTAAAACTAGGCAGTGACGACGCAGTCTTTAAGAGACTCGTGAGTGATGTAACCGCAGAAAGCTATTGTGACGTGGAAAGTCAGTCACTGGATCATATACAGAAGACTTTATTTTGCGTACAAGCCTATTCCCCACAACACTTGCAACAGACGGTGCCATGTAGATGCAATCTCCCACTACGAAGTAAGTAGATAGAACTACCACTTCATCATCTAGCCCGGCTCGCTTCCGTCTCGTCTGTTTCCGGATCACCCAGATATTAGATGGTTCATGTGCGAAACTGGTCTCGGTTTGTGCAGCAGCCTGCAAAGGATCATAAGCGACCACGAACTCTAACCCTTGCATGGTCTTCAAGCGGCCTTCGAAGGCCTCCCGAGTCTCAACAAAATGGCGAAGTGTTTCATTGTAGTTGGCTTGGATGGCAAGAGAGGCATTGTTAGACGTAGCATCGAAAAATGGAGATTCGGCGAAGTAAAATAAGACTGTCCATTGATTAGCAAGTGTATTAAAAGTGAAAAGGAATAATATAAAAGGCCGGAAAGGAAAATCTGCTCACTATTGTTAGAATGGAGAAAACCTCCCATCATTTGGACGTGCGCGGGCGACCGCCACAGGATCTCCTCCATTGAGCCATCTTGGGCACTCGCCATGAAGTAAATCTCGATTGTTGACAGCTGTGAGAGAGATCTCAACCTACACAACAACAGCCAGGAGCGTAAATGGTAGAGTCTACACCTTAAGACTAGGAAGTGTATATCTAAGTGCAATGGAGACTATGATGTATTACCCTCCGCGGAGATCAAAACCGATGTTTGAATTGTTTGCACTGTTTGTTCTATCCGCGCTATGTTGGCAGGCTCATGTCTAACGAACTCTACTATAAACCAAGCAAGCAAGAATCAGGGTATCTTTTGGAAGGATGAAATCTACCAAAGGTGCTATATAGTGAAAACCTTGTGAATAGCTAAACGCCTCTGAACCCCAACGCTCAATGTTGAATCCGACCCCTTATGATCAACCCGCAACTGTTGAATATAGGTGTTGTTGAATATGTGCCTGAAGAGGTAGCTTCAGCAGGAATCAAAGGTAAAATAAATGAATAAAAGAAGAAGAGGAAGAAGGTAGGAGAAATGTGGTCACGTCATTTTAAACCTTGCCTGAACCCTGTAGATCGGACGGCGCGAAGACACCACAGACAGTGGTAAGCTTGGTCAGCATCTCGTTCCATTCACCGTCAGCAGTGCTTAGAATGGTCACAGCTCCTCCAGCCCCAATCCTCCATGTCTGTTCATTATCCTGGTCATCAGAACAGCTGAACGCCGTTCGTATAAGGACCGAGAAGCTACCTCCGCCCCCAAGGTCGAGGAAGCCCATAACACCGGAATAAATCCCACGTTTCCGAGCTTCGATCAAGCTAAGATGCATGCATGAACGCTCCTTAGGCGCGCCAGTCATGGAGCCCGGAGGCAGACACCTCTGTAGGGCTGTAAGCCCGTACGCAGACATGTTTGACGAACGTAGATGGGGTAGGTCTTGGACGGCAAAACCTGGACGACCTGGATCGACATTTCCTTTCACATGCGTGATCATCTGGTAGACACGTCCGTGGTCCTCTACCTCAAGGAGCTTCTCGACATGCACACCACCAGAACCGCAGATGCCGTAAAGGTCATGGCGAATCAAATCGGCGATCATCAAATTCTCCGCCATTTCCTTTGTTGAACCTAGTATCTCCTTTGCCTTCTTCATAGTCATGCTGGCTGATTTTCGGACTGTGCCTTTCATTGGCTTCATTTCCAACGTGAAAGAGCGGTCCCAATTGAGGAAACATTCGGGGCTGCTACTGACAACCTTGACGGTGCCCAATCTTGCATACGCACTGAAGGCTGCAGGATTGTACTTCCTAAGACGTTTGTATAGCTTCCAAGGGAAAGCGATACGTTCGCTGTCAGTGCTAGGCGACGGTAAGGTAATCGATGTTTCACAAGTAAGACACAATTCGTATGATTCACCAGCCTCAAGCTCGGCTTTACAAGCTTCAAGTTGCTTCTTGTATGTTTGCTCGTCCGGGAAACGTATCACGCATTGCCTTAGAACGGTGTCCAAATAACCCGCATCACAGTCCACGTCCTCATTCTCAAGCACGCCTGCACAGGAAAGCTCTGTAATGTATTGGAACGTTTCGTCAAGCCATCCAGTCGACATGTCATCGGCATTTCGCGTTGACTGTATGGTGATGCGCCCTGTTTCGTTATCGATGATGACACTTCTTTCGGTCCACAGCAAACTCACATCTGCTGGATCAGTAGCGGCAGCACCGTTTTGAGGCGGCAACCATCCATGGTGGTCATCGCTGTGAGCCTTCGGCCGGGCAAGACATGCGAGCCCCATCTCGTACGAGAAATAGCCCAGAAAACCCCCCAAAAGGGCACAGAATCATCTCCAAACTCCACCTTTTTCATGTCCATGAGATATCTGAGCGTCTCCCACAAGTCATGAACCGACAAAGACTTTTTGATACTGGAGTCTGTGTACTCCTTGGAATGTCCCTGCAGTTTTTCCACTAGGAGAGCCTCGGTCTGGGCATAGTATTCTAACCTCCAGCTCGTAGGGCCGGGAACTGATATGATACTGTACCTGCCGTTGGACTGAAATAACACCGTTGGTGACCCGGGCGCATTTAAATGTTCACATATAAACTCAGCATTTAGCCTGCTGGTAGTGAGTGAACGGAAAGCTGAAGATCTCGAGGTTGACGCACACCAATTTAACATGGTAAACGCTATGTCTGGAAGTGAGGTCACATCGCTTTGGCGACTTATAATGTCCTCCGGCAAATTACCGTGACCGCTGCGCCCATGTTTCTTGTTGTAGTCTAAGGACATCTCCCACCACTTTTTTAGTAGCTCACTGCACACTCCACGGTCTGACTTGCATGATTCTGGGTGAAATTGAACACCCCAGAACGGCTTTTCACTATGGCGCACAGCCATTGGAATGATAGTCCTTTCAGAAACGTTATCTTGTTCAATGGGCAGCCAAGCCAGAAGATCTAAGTCTGCAGTGGCCTTGATCTGTTCGCCACTGCACTCGGTCAAGGCTGCCTCAAGCGAATCGTCCAATTTTGCATATAGAGAATGATAGAGAGTAACCTCCACATCTTGCAGGTTCTCGAATACGTCCTTTTCGGCCGTCGATATGCGATATACCCGGCCATGAAGTGGGTATGGTAAACGCTCTATAGCAATGCTGTGGTGAAGACACAAACTTTGAAAACCAAGGCATATTCCGAAAATAGGAAGCAAATCAGCGTCACTCAGAGCCCATATATCCTTCATGATTCCGATATCTTCTGGAACATTTGGATCTCCAGGTCCAGGCCCAAGGACGACGGCTTCGAAACATTGCAGAAACTCGGTCTTGTTCCCTCCTGGCCACTCGGAGTCAATCATTATCACAGTGACCTTGACACCTAGAACTTCTTCAAGCATAGCAACCACATTGTAAGAAAAGGAATCATATGCATCAACATAAAGAACATTCTTCTGGGGAGACGTATGGAGGTGAGCTTTAGAGGGCTCACCGGCAGGCGGTGCGGTCCAACTACCTAGTAACGGCGCCATACCGTATGAATGAACTGTAGCTTCTATAACCTCTCAAAGAAAACAGGGAGCACAGCCACAGACAACGAGAATACAAGATATGTGTCAAACAAAATGGATAATGACTAGCAACAAGCACAATATATGCGATGAAACTCGAGCACTGGAGGTCAACGGAGGTTCATAGTGGAATGAAATATAGAAACCCAAAGTGGCGATATTCCAAGAGTCCTTTAGTTATTCAGGGTACCACCACCTTCATGACTCACAACGAGCAAGATGGTGTAAAATGTCAGTAGATCTTCGACAAACAGATCTGATAAAATATTCAACAGCCTTGGAAGTAAGAAAAGGAAGGGGAACAAAGAGAAAGAAGTGGTAGAGCCCAAAGTTTTAGAGAGACTTGGTTTGCCAGACCTGATCACTTTACCTAAAAAATAAGATAAAACCCAGGGACGGAGCGGCAAACACCGGAAAACCTAAATCGGGTACCTGTACGGAGAACGAGGGATAAAATGGGTCTTCCGCCGCAATCACCTTTTTTTGGTTCCCGACCTTCCACCACCACGCAAAGCCAAGCCCTAATTTACCCACCCTTTCATACACGAGCTAGCTTCTTCTGCTCATATGCCCTATCAGACCATGACGGCTTAAGAGACCTCTGAGTGATTTCCATGAAAATTTAATAAATCGTTGGTATTTCAGCTATTCATCTATACATCATCGGTTGATGACCAATGCTTGAGCTTGTCTGGCAAGTATACCTGTCGTGAGAATCAAAGACGAAACATGCCTTGTACTAGGTAGGTCGCCATCATGCATCGTCGGAAATGTTTCAGTAGCTCCAGCCGATCCGCTTCGAAGACGCTATGTGTTCAACGCTGACGTTTGCATATTGACGGTGGCAAGCTTGGTCGCGATTTTGGGGAAGTACTGAGCCACGAAGCCTTCACTGGAGAGTGTATCAGCAAGGGTAACTCTATAATCGTATAGGGTGCTCTTCGTACCTGTAGAAGCTATGGGCGGAGCTATGATCTCCCACTAAATTATGTGCTAGTTCATGACAAAGTATCACCCACCAATATACCAGCGCTTCGCTCCTGTCGGCAGCCGGACTTTGGAGCAGCTCTTTCTCATGTAATTGCTGGAAGTAAAAGTAATTACAAAAGATGCTACCGGCCCGGTTGAACGCTATGGTCTTTCCGCCTGGGTCATAGAAGACACTGAGAATATCGGCACGCAGGGAGAAGACACTAGCGCAATCAATGAGCATCGAAGCAAATATGTTAATTCCGGCGCTGTTCTTGGCCAGAAAGTTGGACCGATCTGCAAGTGTTTTCACAAAGAGTACATGAATACCGCAAGGAAGTGTTGCCACAAATTCCAGGTCGTGACTGGGTCTCTCATCACAATAGGATTTAGACTCAGTGACTTGGTTCGTTTCTGGGCGACTGTATACGCCTGATGATCCGTGAGGTCGACAAGCCTGGATGGCGGAAAGAAGCTCTGATTGAAGTCTATGCGGGGAGCTGACCGTCACAGACTGTTCTGAACGAGATTTTTGTGGGTCTCGGCCGAATATGGGGGAGGAGGGGTGGTGTTATTCGAAGACTCTGCGGATGGCTGGGATGAATCCCCAGCGAGAGGGTTCCTGTCGAGTCCAAAGCGTTTTGTTAAATTGGCGAAAAGACCCCGTGGGCGCCGGTCTTGGCTTTGCTCTAATGCTTCTCCCTGTGAACTGGGGCCGATATCCTTGCCGGATGGCGATGGTGAGTCAGGGAAATCCCCAGGCATCAAAGGCTGTCGTTTGTCTTCTGTTTGCACCTGGGCTTGAGCCCGTTCCTGCGCCCATGCGGCTTCCCTCTCCTGGAGCCGTTGTCGCTCCTCTTCCAACTGCTTCTGGCGCCTATCCTCTGCCACCCTTGCCTCGTGAGCCTTCTGCTTAAGAATGCGCTCAACGTTGTAGCCACGGGCCTTAAGCTCTAACAAATCAGTTTTGAGAAGCATTTCCAATGTGAGAGTCGAGTGAAGCTTCGGCCGGACAAGGATCAGGTGTACGAGAGCTTGACTTATCTCATAAAGATCATATTTGCCTGGGGAGATCCACAGGACCCAGGACGTTGATTGCCGGGTAATGATGGCACTTCGCTTCTGGGTATGTGAAACTCGACGACCTTTAAGGGAGCGGGTGAGGGATATCGAATGTACGACTTGGACTCGAAGGTTCTTCTCAAGCCACCTGACGTCGTGTTGTATGGTTTCAGCGGGTTGATCGTGGAGGAAGAGTCTTGAGCGCTCATGAATCAACTTCTGTAACTTTGCTGCAGGCAGTTGATCTGAAGCTACTGCTCCCCAATGAGCCCGTTCTTCAACAAGGGTTTTCAGCGGTACAGCACCCAGAGCAAGATAAAAGTTCTCTAGGGTTTCCTCCTGAGGCGCAGCTAGAATATGTTCCTTGAACAGATTGAAACTCTGGAAATCATCCACCACCACCGTGTCCTTTGCTGCAGTCAAAGTCCACTCCTTTATGCTCTGTTCGTCATCATCTTCTTCAGAGCCAAGACCCCCTTTTCCCGAATTCCCTTGAGTCAGAGAGGATATATCTCTACTCGCTAAAAGGAATGCAGAGCATCTCATTTCGTTAAGGAGGCCCCGGTCTTTCTTGAGCACAGAGATATTCTCGGCAAGCGTTCTCAGTAACTTGAGATACTTGTCTGCACTTTGAAATGTCGAGGATATCCTGGCCGGCTCTTTCACCAACATGTACGCAATTTCTATCTTAGTCGGCTCCCTCTTAGAACCTACTGCCATGAGAAAGAAGTTGGCCTCTTGCCCAAAGTCAACAAAGTCGAAGATCTCCTTATAATCTTCACCCTCTCCAAGATAGCATAGCTTTGGCGCGACACGGCGTATACTCGATTCATGGTTGGGGGTATCATTTACTGAGACTGGCACTATTTGTGCGTTACTAACTCGATCAATATCTCGCGGCTTAAGCTCCGATACTCTCCCAGCTAAATATTTGAAAGTCACTTGCGCGTCTCGCTTAGCAGAGGGTGGCTGCCGAAGCAGACAATTCAGGCATTCAGTTAGTGCCGGATGTTGTTTGACTCCGAATTTGGGAGCATGAGGGTGAAGGGTATCCTGTAAGATTTCAAATCCAAATAGAGTAGCAGCTTTATCAGTGAAGCACTGACTTGGAATGCTAAGACTATCAGATCCTTCGATAGGTAGAAAAGGAACAGTAACTTCTTCGCAGTTGAACGCGGCGTAACCATTGCTATGATACTCGGCAATATAGTAAGACATAGCTTTCCCATGAAGAGTCCAATCTTTGGCTGCCGCTGCCTTTGCCATAATTTTTATTAGTTCGAAGGGGGATGGGAAGCTCCTCAGGCCTAGCATGGAGAGAAATTTACCCTCGTTGCTGCTAGACTGGTACTTGCCCGGCCACTCAATCACAGGAAGTCCAAGAGCTCTGAGTGGGTCGTGTGGCTCGAAAAGCTCATATATCTTATAACGTTTACGGCGGTCTTTTGTAGAATCATTAGCGATTTCGGTCACCTCCGCAGTACAGATACTGGTGTCCTTCAGCCTCTTGATATCGCTAGCGGGTATGTCATCACGAACGGAGGCGAGATAGCGTATCAAATCGACATGGCTCCACTTTTTCTGGCTAATGCTGACTCCATCTGAAGATTCCGTTGTACTTAACAGGCGTTCAAAGATGACCCCAAGATCAACGGTCTTACGGACGCCAAGAGCAGCCAGGAATTTTTCTTTGACGCT